GAAATATGTTACACTGGAAAACAACACCATTGCCATTGTAATATTAATAAAGAATACAGCTTAACTAATAGTGAGCCATGATGTTCCTGAAGATAGTTCAAATAAACTAGTTCTGCATTTAGTTGGAGAGAAATTAACTATAGTTTTCACCACCTACAACTGTAAAGACAAGAAATTAAAACTTTTAATTGACTTGGGAATTAAATTTGTTAATAACTACGAGTAATTATCATACATACTGCGCATGTGGTTAATTTTGCCAAGAACTTTCAGTAGAGTCTGGTGCAGGAAATATTCATTTAAATCTACGAGTATTTAGTTTTTAGAACTTGTTTTGTTTATACAGGGATTGGGGAAACGTCCCGGGAAACGAAGTCAAACGGTAATATTAATGATACCTTCGACCATGGGTCAGAAAAAAAAATCGATCAAGTCGAGCGCGGTCGTAGCCCTCGTTAATTGAATTCAGCCTGACATTTGATATTAATTTTTGGAGCATACATTGCGCTGTATTTTTAATATTTATTTTAAAATTTGATATACATGTCGGCGCCCGCGCGCCGCCTGAGCGAAACTGTAAACAACACGTGCACCGATCACGCCACCGAGCGCGTCATTCGATGCCCCCACTCTCATCACTACTAGATTTGCCGGTATAAAAGACTTGTAACGATCGTTTTGAAGGCAGTCTTGCCTCTAGCGTGGCTCGGTGCACTAGCTGTACCTCGCTGTAAGCTTAACCTAGACACTTCGGAAAATTAATTCGTGAAAACGAATTAATTATTATTCCGGGTTATAATTTGGTTTCTGGACTAATTATACCCGATTATTTAAGGCTAATTTACCGAAGTGTTAATTTATAATATAGTCTACTTTAATGACTAATTAATATCAAATTGTTATTAGTCCTGTGATTTGCTGTTTCTGTGTTTGATTGAATAAATTATTATCAAGTTTTAAAAAGAACTTCTTTTTTAATTATGACCGATCCTTCTCTTACATCAGAAGTGGGATCGGATCCACTTCCACTTCACGATCAAACCAACTCTACCAACTGCATGGAACAGCAAATGTCTTTTTTTTCTCCCGGTATGGAAGCAATTTTATTAAAATTATCAAATAGTTTAAATCAGCATCCCGTCAATCCACCTACCCCCTTTAAATTGGTGTCATTCAATCCCGATGACGCAGATTCCGACATAAAAGACTGGTGTACCTTAAGCGAAATGATTATTGAAAAAAAGAACTTGGAGGGTGTTGATCTCATTATTGCACTCACTCACGCTCTTAAAGGTCGCGCTGCGACTTGTCTTACAAAAATACGGCCAGATAACGTCTCCTGGTACGCTATTAAGGAAATATTGATTTCAAAATTTTCAAAACCAATGATGATGCAAGACTATTTTGATCAGGTCATTAAGTTTCGCCTTGGTAACAAGGAAAACCCAGCTGAAGCGGGCACACGCTTATGGCAGCTTATAGAAAAAATCCCCAACGCAAACCTACCTGAAAACGTTACAACGGGCTTTGCAATTTCGATTTTATCCCAATGTGATGATAAAATACGTCGCGAGTTAAACTCTGTAATTATTAACGATAAACATCAACTCTTTCGTGCTTTGAGAAGCTTTTCACTTAAGAGATGTAACGATGATTCTTTAACATCGGAAGTAGAACAAAAAAGGTTCCGCCCTTCTATACCATTTAAAGGTTCCTGTCATTTTTGTGGCAAAACAGGACATCGGGCCAACGAATGTCGAAATAAAAATCGCTCGTTCGCCAAAAGCACTTCTATGTCAGCTAAACCAGATTCTTCAATTACTAAGACCTACTGCTACATCTGCCTGGACACCAGCCACATAGCCAGCGCCTGCCCCAAGCGGTATACGAAGAAAGACGACGCTTCGAGCAGCAAGCAAGTCAACCTGTGCAGCAAACCATCTCGTGGGACTCTCGAGACTAGTGGTATGAAACTATCATTTATTTTTGATTCAGGATCAGAATGCAGTCTTATAAAACAAAGTAAAAGCAACTTACTGATCGGTGAAAGATTTCATGAACAAGTAGTTCTGAAGGGAATAGGCGGTAACAACGTTATCTCTTCTTTACAAGTAAAATGTGAAGTTTATGTTCAAACATTTGTCCTAGAAATCGTCCTTCACGTATTACCAAACGAGTGTTTAAGCGAAGAGGTTTTATTAGGCCGTGATGTACTGAAAAACGGAATATCTGTTGAAATTAGCAGTGAAAAACTGACTTTCTTTAAATCCAAACTCAGTAATGTTTGTTCTCAATTTAATTTCGATCCGCAATACATAGATACTGACTTAACAGGTCGCGATAAAGAAATTTTGATAAAGATTTTAAATAAGTATTCTGAGTACTTTATAGATAAATTGCCGACTACACAAGCTAGCACAGGTGTCTTGAAGATAGATTTAATTGATCCCAGTAAAATAGTTCGTAGGCGTCCCTACAGATTATCTCCTACCGAATTGGATATTGTCCATGTTAAAATTAAGGAACTGCTAGACGCTAAAATTATCCGGGAAAGCTCATCACCTTTCGCAAGTCCTGTTTTGCTAGTAAAAAAGAAAGATGGCAGTGATCGTATGTGTGTCGATTACAGGGAATTAAATAAAAACACAAGACCTGATAGCTATCCCCTTCCACTTATTAGTGACCAAATAGATAAGTTACATGGAGCGAATTTTTTCTCCACCATCGATATGGCCTCTGGATTTCACCAGATTGAAGTAGACGAAGGTTCCATAGAAAAGACTGCATTTGTTATCCCCACTGGTCAGTTTGAGTATCTGAGAATGCCATTTGGGCTTCGAAATGCTCCGCAGGTTTTCCAAAGAGCTATAAATAAGTCTCTTAAGGGACTCAACGACGATAGAATCCTTGTCTACATGGATGACGTACTTTCTGCATCAGAAACAATCAAAGAAGGCTTAGCCAGACTCGATAAACTGTTGGAAACTCTTTCTAAGACAGGTTTTTCTTTTAACTTAAAAAAATGTTCGTTTATGAAAACTAAAATTGAATATCTAGGGTTTGTTATATCTTCTGGACAAATAAGACCAAACCCACGTAAAATTGAAGCTTTGAAATCATTGCCGGCTCCCGACACTGTAACACAAGTAAGACAATTAATCGGTTTAGCATCTTATTTCCGTCAATTTATTCCAAATTTTTCAAAATTATTGAAGCCCCTATATCCGTTAACTGCTGCAGGAAAAGGAAAAATTACATGGACACCTGAACATGATAAAATTCATAAAATTATAATTGGTTGCTTAACAACCGAACCCGTTCTCAAAATCTTTGATCCTTCCTTGCCAATTGAGCTTCATACAGATGCAAGTAGTGATGGTTACGGAGCAGTGCTAATACAAAGGGTTGACAACTTACCACACGTAGTAGCTTATTTTAGTCATCCAACGAATTATGCAGAAAGTCGTTATCACTCGTATGAACTTGAAACTTTGGCAGTAGTCAGAGCTGTGGAACATTTTAGACATTATATCTATGGCCGCAGGTTTACAGTATTTACTGACTGCAATTCCTTAAAAGCATCCCATTCAAAAAAAGACTTAACATCGAGAGTGCACCGTTGGTGAGCTATTCTCCAGTCTTACGATTTTGATGTAATCTATAAAGAAGGAAAAAATATGGCTCATGCCGATTTCTTATCCCGTAACTTTGCATTAGAAAATCGATCTCCAAAATTCAAACAAGTGCCCAAAATAGTTAACTTCTCAGAATTAGAGAGGGGATGGCTATTGGTAGAACAACAACGGGATTCAGAAATTAAGGATATCGTATCGAAACTTAGAACAAATGATTTTCCAATAGAAATATCACACACATACGATGTACGACAAGGTATTCTTTACCGTAAAATTGAACGTGGTAAGCATTCCAAATGGCTACCTATGATTCCTAGGTCCCTGACATGGACTCTAATCGGTCACGTTCACAATGAAATAAAACATCTCGGATATGAAAAAACTCTCGATAAGATGTATGACCTTTACTGGTTCCCAAACATGGCAAAATTTGTAAAAAAGTTTGTCGATTCTTGTGTTATTTGTAAGGCATCTAAGGGTCCTTCTGGTGCTCAACAGGTCCGATTACATCCAATCCCAAAACCAGCTATCCCTTGGCACACTATTCATTTGGATCTAACAGGCAAGCTAAGCGGAAAAAGCGCACAAAAAGAATATTGCTCTGTGGCAATAGTTGCCTTTACAAAATTCGTAGTTTTAGAACACGTTACTACTTTAAATTCAGTTCATGCTGTTAAAGCAGTCAAAAATATAGTTAACCTATTTGGCACACCTAAACGTATAATCGCTGATCGCGGTCGTTCATATGATAACTCTGACTTTAAGAAATTTTGTAAAGAGCACAACATCCAATTACACCTCATTGCCACGGGATCCAGTAGGGCTAACGGTCAGGTCGAGAGAGTAATGCGTACCTTAAAAAATTTGTTAACTATAATTGAATGTGATTCCGATAGTACATGGCAGGATCAACTAGGTGAGATTCAATTGGCCCTTAATAGTACCCGTTCGAGAATCACTAAATTTTCCCCTCTTGAACTGATGTTTGGTATACAAGGAAATTCCCTTGGATTATCTAAAGTAGCTTTTAGTTCACATAACGACGTTATATCCAGACTAAACTTGGATGATATTAGATCTAGTGCCTCCATCAATATCATTAAGTCCTCAGAAGCAGATTCTCTCCGATTTAATAGACGCAAGGCTAAAGTACGACCTTTCTCACTAGGTGATTTCGTGTTTGTCAAATCTGAAGAAAGGCACCAAACAAAATTAGATAGAAAATTTAAAGGTCCATTTAAAATAACGGCTATATTAGAAAACGATCGCTATGAATTGAAACATATTGATGGTTCAAATCGAGTTTATAAATATTCCCACGAAAATTTACGAGAGGTGCCCCGGGGTCCAGCTGAATTTCTTGAAATGGCCGAATATTGTAGTGATGATGACGAAATGACGAATCAATTAAATAACATTGTTCATGAGATCGATTACCAGTTAGATACTATAGACTTTAATGAAAATTATAACCAACCTGATGATGGTTCAGATACTATCTCGGTTAGTAGTGACCACACCATGACTGCACATTCTGATACCTTGTCGGCACGATCTGATACAATGTCGGCTAGCTCTAATGCAACAACTGTAAATTCTGAACCTTTAAATATAGTGGTACAAGCAGAAGTACATCGACCTAATGAATGTAACTGAAATTTTATTGAAGGGCTTGCGGCCGGTCCAATAATCTGGCTGTAGGGAATCATAATTCCGGTCCAGCATAAATGCTACAGGGAATAACAATTCCGGTCTAGCAAAGGCTATAGGGAGTAACAACTCCGGTCTAGCAAACGCTATAGGGAGTAACAACTCCGGTCTAGCAAACGCTATAGGGAGTAACAACTCCGGTCTAGCAAACGCTATAGGGAGTAACAACTCCGGTCTAGCAAACGCTATAGGGAGTAACAACTCCGGTCTAGCAAACGCTATAGGGAGTTACAACTCCGGTCTAGCAAAGTCTAAAAAAAAAAAAAAAAAACAAAAAAAAAAAGAGAAAAAAAAAAAACATTCAGGCCTAGCTCGTCCAGAGAATGTAAAAACGAAAGTTTTGCGGAACCTCAGGTCGGACCAAAACTGCCATAAGTCTGAAGGGTCAATTTGGACCGGGCCAGACACTATAATATTGTCAGGATAATCGAACGATGTTTTTCCTTCAGATGTCTAAAAGTAAGAAGGGACGCGTGCGAGGGCGCACGCACGTCAGCATGGCCGTGTCGGCGCCCGCGCGCCGCCTGAGCGAAACTGTAAACAACACGTGCACCGATCACGCCACCGAGCGCGTCATTCGATGCCCCCACTCTCATCACTACTAGATTTGCCGGTATAAAAGACTTGTAACGATCGTTTTGAAGGCCGTCACTTCCCGACTAACGTGTCGCACAGACCAGACATCTTGGACGTGGCACTTCTAAAGAACACAAACCTACGCTTGTGTTCTATAGAGGTACACCACGAACTAACATCAGATCATAGACCTGTAGTCATAGAATTCGCACCTAGACTAGGCCCCATAGACACAGGCCACACCCCTAATAGGCGGATTACAGACTGGAAACGGCTTGGGACGAAACTCGAGTCGATCTCGTCTGTACATCTAGACAAAATCCCCGACAACATCACTAGCCCCGAGGACGTTACAGTGGCGATCGACTCTCTCACAGAACACGTTCAATCGTTAATCAACGATTGCACTCGGGAGGTACCAGCGACGAACTTCTAAAGAACACAAACCTACGCTTGTGTTCTATAGAGGTACACCACGAACTAACATCAGATCATAGACCTGTAGTCATAGAATTCGCACCTAGACTAGGCCCCATAGACACAGGCCACACCCCTAATAGGCGGATTACAGACTGGAAACGGCTTGGGACGAAACTCGAGTCGATCTCGTCTGTACATCTAGACAAAATCCCCGACAACATCACTAGCCCCGAGGACGTTACAGTGGCGATCGACTCTCTCACAGAACACGTTCAATCGTTAATCAACGATTGCACTCGGGAGGTACCAGCGACGAACGATCGTCGATGGAACCTACCCGACGACGTACGTGAACTGTTGAGACAGAAGAACGCTGCGGTACGCGCCTACGACCGCTATCCATGCGAGGACTATAGAATGAGACTACGCACTCTAGAGAGGGCAGTTAAAACACGCATGAGCGAAATGCGTCAATCCCGATGGGATTCAACCTTAAAAGACCTAGAACCGACTCACCTCGCCTTCTGGCAGCTATCCCGAGCATTAAAGAAAGACGTAGTCACCACTATGCCTCCCTTAAAGAGGCCCAACCTCTTGCCCGCCTTCGATGATATCGAAAAATCGGAGTGTCTGGCCGACAGCTTGGAGCTTCAGTGTACACCCAGCACAATTCACTCAAATCCCAACCTCACAGTAGAAATAGACACAGAAGTGGAACGCAGAGCCTCACTCCCGTTACCACCCACGACAGACGAGCAAGACCTCAAACCAGTGTCTCCCGACGAGGTGAAAACGATCGTTAAGGACCTTCACAGTCGTTAAGCACCGGGCTCGGACGGTATCACAAACAGGGTCATTAAACTCTTTCCCGACAGGCTTTTGGTCCTTCTGACATTCATTTTTAACGCAGCGCTCACAAACAATATCTTTCCCCAACAATGGAAAGAAGCCGTGGTTATTGGGATACTAAAACCCGGCAAACCAAAGTCCGAGCCGGCTAGTTATAGACCGATAAGTCTGCTTAAAGGTTTAGGTAAAATCTACGAGCGCATAATTTACAGTAGACTGAAAGCACACGCCGATGAGAACCTCCTGTTACCGCACGAGCAATTTGGTTTTCGAACCAAGCACTCGTGTGTCCAACAAGTCCACCGCATCGTTGAGTTCACCAGCGAGCGGCTCCAACGAAACCTTTTCACAGGAGTCCTATTCTTCGATGTAGCGAAAGCCTTCGACAAAGTGTGGCACAACGGCTTAATTTATAAGCTATACACTATGGGAGTGCCCCACAGACTCGTACTCATCATACGAGACTACTTGTCGAACCGCAGTTTTCGCTACCGCGTAGAGGGATCGCTATCCTCCCCCCACCCCATCCGAGCTGGCGTCCCGCAAGGGTCCGTGCTCTCCCCTATCCTATTCACGCTGTTCACCAGCGACATCCCGAAGCATCGGCTTGTGCAAACAGCACTTTTCGCAGACGACACAGCTATCTATTGTTCAGGAATAGACCCTTCATCAGTAGCCAGGAAACTCCAGACCGCTGCCAACGCCCTAGGCGCGTGGTTTCGGAAATGGAGAATAGAGGTCAACCCCGAGAAGAGCCAGGCGGTTCTGTTTCATAGGAGACAGCTCCGCTTGTATCCCTTGGAGAAGACCCCACAGATAAGGATGTTTGGTACGCCTATCCCCTGGGCTAGGCAGGCCAAATATCTAGGCATAATCCTTGACGATCGACTAACCTTCGGGCCCCACATTAAGGCGGTTCGCAACAGGGCCGCCTTCGTGTTGGGTCGACTCCATAGTTTAGTCAACTCAAAGTCCAAATTATCACTCAAAAACAAAGTCAGATTATACACGTCATGTATTAGACCTATCATGACATACGGTAGTGTAGTATTCGCACACGCTAGGCAACACAGGATCCATAGGCTACAAACACTACAAAATAATTTCATGCGCCGGGCTACGGGAGCACCGTGGTATGTGCGTAATGTCGACCTTCATATCGACCTCGAGCTGCCGACCATCAGGCAATTCATAAAACAGTGCTCCCTTAGCTACTTTGACTCTGCTCCGACTCACCCCAACCCTCTAGTGGTTGCGGCTGTTAATTACACACCCAGCAAAATTTCACGCACACGCAGACCGAAACACGCTCTAGTTGAGCCAGACGACACTATCACCCTCGCTCAGCAGCGAGTGTACACAGCTCGCGCAGCTACCACGAATCGTCCGCGATTCCGTCCTCGCCGCCGGGGCCGGAATACGCGCCGCGTTAACTCCTAAATGTGGGTCTTGGTCGCCCTAGTTTGCCAGTAACGCCCCAAGCCGAGGTTCGTACCCCACAGGGGGTGCCCTTGGGCGATGTTACTTAATAAAGACCGGTTGAGAGCCCTCTGCGCTCACCGAAAAGCGTCGAGGCCATCCGAGGCCAACAACCATACATCACACAAAAAAAAAAAAAAAAAAAAAAAAAAAAAAGTTTTGAAGGCAGTCTTGGCTCTGGCGTGGCTCGGTGCACTAGCTGTACCTCGCTGCTAGCTTAACCTAGACACTTCGGATAATTAATTCGTGAAAACGAATTAATTATTATTCCGGGTTATAATTTGGTTTCTGGACTAATTATACCCGATTATTTAAGGCTAATTTATCGAAGTGTTAATTTATAATATAGTCTACTTTAATGACTAATTAATATCAAATTGTTATTAGTCCTGTGATTTGCTGTTTCTGTGTTTGATTGAATAAATTATTATCAAGTTTTAAAAAGAACTTCTTTTTTAATTATGACCGATCCTTCTCTTACATACATAAATCTTAAAAAAAAAAAAATTTCGTATACATTTATTAATTAGTTCTTAACTTGTTAATTTTCGAAGTCATCTTAATTGAGTTAAAGAATTTGTATTCTCATAAGAACTTACAGTTAGTTCACTTATAATGAGATACATAGTAATTAACTTATGACTAATACAATATTCCCCTCTTAGCGTATTGGATGCTACAATGTACATACATGTTTCTTAAGCCAGCTTTTAAATTCATTTATACTATTACAATCCTTTAATTCTTTCGGTAGACTTCCGAAACAGCTTAATTTTATATGTTTATTCCTTAAAATTAAAAAGAAACACTCATACTAGTCGCCTTTAAAGGAAAACAAAGAAACATACATAAAATCAATTTCTAAACTAGTAACTAACCTACAAACTAAAGCAATTATTTTCATAATTTTTATTGTCATCATCAATCCAAACTTATCTGACCCAAAAGAAAGCGAGCAATAAACATAATAATCAACCATTTTCTCGAAACAAAGGAATTTCTATCACTTATTCACCAACATTATTGCTTTAAGTAAAGCTGAATACCATAATTAATCTGTTTTCTATTCTCTCTAACTGCGGCCCCAGATGCAAGATTTTAAAGCATAAATCACGAGCACTCGTCGTTGTACAACTTTTATTTCCTTACAATGCGTTCAAAACATTTTTCGTTGTTCTTTTGTAAGAAAACAGATACTTTATGAGAAGTGAAATTTATGAGGTGTTTTTGTACTGTTGGGCTGAGTAAGTTTCGTAAGGTAAGCTACTAGAACTTTCTTTGAGAATTTTTCTCCTTGAATAAACTTACATGTAATTCGTTGACTTGATTTTTAGATTTCGTAATAAAAATTCGTATATTAAATATACTATATTATGCAACATTATGAAAGGTCCGTGTGGTGACGGATTAAGAATACAGAGTGTCACCACCCCTATTTATCCCGTGAGTGACGTAACGACGTGAGTTGATATGATGAAATAAATGATTACAATTCGATACTTAAATACTATATTTATTTGGCTGTACTTTAACGGTAAGTCGTCACGGCAAATCTTGGTAAGTGTACTTGGATATAGTGTGTTATGTGCCATCTTCAGTGTGAAATTTTGAACTCAACAGTA